CCAAACATGTCTGTTGACACCAGACTGTAGTAATAAATTATAGGCTAGGTGGACAGGACCTGCAGAGATACTAGCTCATTACTACAGATCCAGATTCTCATAGAGTGAAATTAACAGATGGGTCTTAAAAGAGGGTTCATATGTAAATAAAATCAAGAAATTTAATCCTGTGATACAGGTGGTGGGTGTAATATTTGAGAATGAAGAGGAACTAGGAGAAGTCCATTCCATACCCAGTGTGAATGATAAGCCCAATTACTTTTATCTTACTGTTGAGAAAAAACGAAAACTTCTTTATAAGTAAAATAGAAACTGCCAAAGTAAATGAAAATAAATTAAGATTCAATGACATCGAATGAAAGAAACCCTACATTATTGAATTTCTGAAGCATTAAAGCCAGAAGTAGATAAACAAATCAAGGAAATGTTAGCAATGGGATTGACTGAACTAATGCTGAAATTTTATACCCTATTGTCTGTATTTTGAGGAAAGATGGTGCTCTCCATCTATGTGTAGACTTAAAATTCACTAAATAGAGTAATGACACCCAATGACTTCCCTACGGAAAATCCCAAAGAACCATTATTCCATATTGGTAAACCCAATGTGATATCAACCACTGATTTAATCAAAAAATATTCAGCCATGGCCTTAGAAAGGGAAGGCCAAGAGTTCGCATGTTTCAAGACACATCAAGGTTAGCATCGGCTTAAAGGCATGCCTTTTAGGCTGTACACTGCCAAGGTTTCTGAGAGTGATTAACCACGCACTCGCTAAGCATAAAGATTTTGCTTAAGGCTACCTCGATGGTACAGTGGTTTATTCAAAGAGCTGGACCGGACATTTAATATATCCTTACATAATTTTTTCAAAACTGTTAGAACTAAAGTTTTCAGCAAATCTTAAGAAATACTCATTTACTAAGATTTACATTAAGCATTTGGGGCATATTGGTTTCTGGCAGTCATCACGTTGATCCGGATAAAGTGGAGGCTATCATGAAACAGACTAGGCCTCAAACTAAAAAGCAACTAAAAGGTGTTCTTGGTCCATATAACTATTACAGAGATTATGTTCCACATTACATAAAGACGGTTTATCCACTAATAGAGCTTCCCCAAAAGAGATGTCCTTAGGAAGAGACTAAACATGGCATTTGAGGAATTAAAGAGGTGGCCAGCCTATATACCCTTCAAAATTCAGTGAGATGTATCTTTTTATAATTCAGGTGTTGTTGGCTGCTTATCAGAGTGGTAGGATGGTGTGATGTACCTAATTAGATATATTACCCAGAAGTTAATCAAAACACACCAGACTTGGCCAACAACCTCCAGGAAGCCTACACTGGTTTGGAACTTTAAAAAGTTCTAAACATGGATATCCGAATCATCCATGGAACTGATTACTGATCACAATCCATTAACTTTCATCACCAAGAATCACTCCCAGTCTTCTAAGCTGCAGCAATGGGCACTAACAATAGAGATATATGATAATATAACTTTGCATTATCCAGGTGACAGACTGAACAATGTTGACAGATTGTCCAGACTGGAGATCATCAAATGACCAGTGTGAAAAGAAAACAGACTCTTTATGGACACTTATAAACTCTTTATTTTTCCCCTTCATTTTTGCTTTTTTAGACACTATATGACAACGAAAGACAATTATCATTCTATTGCATTTTAGAATTATTTTGATTATTAATTATTAATTATTTGTATGTTATAATTCACAGACAAAGAAGTTTCAGAGTCAAAAATAAATGTACATAATATAGTTTTTAATTGCATTAATTAACTGACTTGTTGGCATTAATAGGTAAGTGATTTTTTCTATTTTGGCATCACCATTCTTTTATCATATTTTCAATAGGTTTTCACCCAATTTTCATCTTGGATGTGGGGTGTGATGTATAGGTGATGTCAGAAAATCAAAATGCAAAGGAAGTGCTGCATCTGATTTACAGAAATGTCAGAAATTAGTTTTGAGATAGACCTGACGAAAGGTCAGACAAAGAAGGGCTCATGGGAGCCCACAGTTTAATTGTAAGTAGTGTAGTTTGGTGATGCCATGTGTAACTGTGCACTTGAATAAATATTCAAGGTATAAAAAAGTATCAATTATTGTCTAGAGAAGAAAACAGAGAAATATTGTATCTTTTTATTATCTTAAACTGAAATGAGTAACTTAAAAAGTTACAGATCTATAATCTGAAACTGAAATTCTAGATTATAGTCTAACAACACCACAAAGAACATTTCGCAAAATAAATAAACAAGTAAATAAAATTTAAAAAAACATGAAGATATTTTACTATAAAGAGACATTAGGTTAATTTTTGGAAGCCAGAGAGATGAAAAATTAGCAACCGCCTTTCCCCGGGAATCGAACCACGGACCTCTGGAATACCGGTCCGGCGTGCAGAACTACTACACCACGAAGGACGCTAGGAAAGTGGGAGAAACACCTTATAACTAAATAATAACATAATACTAAATAAGAAAAAATCTGTTTTTTTTTTTTTTTTCAGTCTTTTGCTGGAATAATCGACACAAGTTCGAGCTCATATTTATTTAAGATTTTTATATGTTGCATTTGTAATGTATCCAATTTGTTACCTCAAACTTCTGCTGGAATGATTAATGCAAGTCTGACAGGACCAACCCTGAAACAGCACTGATGATGTTGAGTACTATCTAAGAAAGCAGTTGGGAGAAACAGGTTGTGTTTTTTAACAGTGCAGCAATGAAATACTATACATAATAGAAAAGTGATGATTGCTGGTTTTGGTGACCTTCAAAAGGTTCAATAAAAAAACTAAATGTTACACTGAATATTTCAATGTTAATCATTGCTCAAAATATGTAACATTTGAAAGAAAAATAAAAATTGGTTATAATATGAATAATCAATCTTCCCACTTGGCCAGAGCTTTTAAATAAGATTAACGTGCTATAATGTATTTAAGCTTTCTTCTCCATCAAAATACTTTAAAATTGTTTTAACTTTTGTTTGCATATCAGAATGACTGACCTGAAGGGCTAGAAAAAAAATTTAGAGCAATGTTGCACATTTTTAAAATAATGACTAGCTATATCAATTGACAGTACTAAAACATATAATATAAAGACAAAATATTTCAAAAAACATAAACCTAAATCTTAGTTATGAGCAGGAAGAAGGCATCGTACAATAAGTTAATTTACTAGTTTTGATTATTAAAAGGAAAAACATAATTTTTGTATTTTAAATAACTCAGTAGTGTTAAAATGAATTCTTTCTATTAAATGCACTGATATTTAATGCACAGCTGTTTTAGCATAGTTTCATACGAGTGGATCATATCATGTCTACTGTCATCACTGAAGTGAGGCATTATGTTCAACATGATATAACAATATCATCTGTGACTGTGAGTTCAGAGTGTCAAGTTGTTGATGAAGTATTTTGGCCACCCACAACTGATAGCCAAGAGTTTCACTTTTTCCTTGTCTAATGCTGAACAATGAACATGTAAGTTTGTAATGCTGTACCAAAATGATCAGATTAAAAGTGTAAATAACATACAATGCTATGTGTTGGATATGTGTGCTTTTATGAGTCAGTAAATCTTCACAATCTAATTAACCTATATTAACTGAATATGAACTGATTACTACAGTCAAAAGTCTTTAATCCGGACGTCCAAAATCCGGACCTCAAAGCTACAAACTTTCTGTGCATGCGTTTACGCATGCTCATAATACATTTACGCATGCACGTTTAATTTATAACGGATGGTATAAGCTAAGCTAAAATTATCTATTTCAGTTAATGTTGCACATTGCGTTGTTCCTTAATATTAGAATTGGATACGGCTTTATTTTTTGCAGACTGTGAGCATTTATAATGTAACTTAAACTTTCAATTATGCAAAAGATTTCCAATCTGAGCTGCCAACGATCTACGACGTGAAAGCATGTTTCGACGTCCTCAAAAAAGTGAATGCTGCAAAAAGGATAAGGCATATCCTTTGTTCCTAACTATTTGAAATCTGTTTATCAATTTCACATGTTGCGGGGGGGAGGAGGGGCGGCGATGACTGGAAGTTGATGTCAGGCATATCCTTCGTCAGGGCAGTTTTGATTTTACCTCGCTTATAATCTATAATGGAGTTTCATCTCGCTGCACTCCTATATTTAAATCATTCCTCCATATAAATACGAATCACATCAATAGTTTTTGGTTGCAATTTTTAATTTCGACTATGCGTAATGTATGCTTATGCCTGCGCGCATGAAAGAAATGTTATAAGTAAACAAATAAATATAAGCTTTTTTTTTGCATGTAATTTTGATACCTTAGATCATAATGCTCTTTATTTCATAAATAAGTTTCATATTTTTAATTTTTAAATTCGCCTGCCATTACAATTAAACTGATGATCATAATCCGAAAACCGATAATCCGGAATCACCCGAGTCCCCGAAGATCCGGATTAAGACTTTGACTTATAGCTAAAAATGATGTACTATTTGAATGATAAGATCTTTAAGAAGTAAAACTTGGTAACTGAATTCATCATGTTAAATTAGACAGTATAAGAATCTATAAATCTTTATCCTCCCGCCCCATAATTTGATCATGAACTTATCACTTATTCAGCCTTATCATTTTATATATTGTCCTTTTTGGTTGAGACTTTATTTCTAATTTTTGATGTGAACATGAAAGCTTTTCTTTAGATTGCACAATTGCCGAAGTCCCGACAAGTCTGGATTAAAGACTTTTGACTGTATTATTTTCTGTTTGACAGAAACATATATATTTAAGAGATGTTAATATGTTTTAATTGAAATTCTGATCCATATATTTGTTTATATGCACTGTAAGATTATTTTATTTTGACAAGTCAATGTTATAATGATATTATTACAAATCATAGCATGTGAGAACACAAACAATGCATAGCTGGAAAATTTATCAAATAAATGTTTTCATTAAGCTCAATCATTACAGGTTTAATAAATTAAACTTTAGGTAGTAATATTTGACAATAATAACTTACTTTGATATTTTTAAATGCAAAGTGTATTAATAATTCCATAATGTGGCTGGCATTTGCATTTGAGAATATTTCATTTTTATTCTGTGCAAAGGCTGCCATGAATCGCTTATGTATGCTTTCTTCTTGACATTCAGACAATAGAAGTTCAATACAATGACTACTAGAACAACGACAGCATAACTCCACCTCTTTCTGCACACTTTCTTGAAGAGCACTTATAATAAAAGCATCTGTAAATATAACAGAGTTTTACACTTGTAAACTATGAAAATAAAATAAAAACTGTAATAAATAAACAAGAAAACTGCAATATGGAAATTTTGATTTACAATATAACATCTTACTAAAGAAGTTATCATTTAAAACTTTTTAAAATTTATATTAAAAATTACATAAAACATAAAAATAATAAAAAATAATTTTGTACTATTTAGATTACATTTAACATTAGAAAATTTTTTTAAATAATAACAAAGTTGCAAATCTTCATAAAAATCATAAAATTTTTAAGTTGCACATATTATAATTTACATGAATTTTTATAAAAAGTAAAAGAGTTAAAAGTGTTAAGAAGTACATTAATTATTAATCCATTTGTAATTCAATAATCAATTGATTAAATTTAAAAGTTAATTAATAAAGCATAATTCTTTGTCAAATGCAGCATTCTAAAAATCCTCAGTGTGCAAGGTTGCATGGAAAATCAAGGTTTTATATATTTTTTTAATTTTGATTCATTTAGTAGAAGACTGGTAAACTAAATATGCCTAACAAATAAGTTTTCTTTTAATAATCAATTAAAATTGAGCACTCTTGTATTATTCTACTGACCATAAAACTATTGCCAAGCAGCGTAATTTAATGCCAGTTATGGATAAATATGAAGTCATAGATGCAAGATTTAACAGTTTTTGCTTTTCAGAATCTAGTGTTTCAGATTTAGTACTGCAGTAATTAACCCTCTGAGCAGTGCAAGATTTTAGATCTGTCATGAAGACCGGTATTCAAACAGCATTTATTAACTGAATTTGTAAAATTACTTATTTTAGTCTCTATTTTCATAAACATACATTCAATAAGATGATAATTACATTTAAAGAAAGTAAAAAAGCAAAATATCTTAAATTATAAGCTAATATGCCGCCCAGATGGTATAGTAGTTAGGGAAGCCTGACTGCAATACTGTAGGGCCCAGGTTCGAATCCTAGAGAAGGCATGAATGTAAAAGTGTCTGTCCCTTCATAGGAGGTAATGGTGGCCGTCTATTAGGTGCCTTCACAATAAAATGTAGGGCTGTGGAGTCGGAGTCAGAATTGGAGTTGGGTAAAAGGAGTCGGAGTTGGAGTCGCTAAAAACAATTTGGCTCTGACTCCAGTTTTTGTTGGACAGTTTGAATTTGAAATGAAATTAAAGTGAATTGAAAAAAAATTTCCATGACAAACTGAGTTAATATTTTTTTTATGAACACCATCTTTTCCGAAAATCACTGTCTTACTTTTCTGATTGGTCCAAAATACACTCTGGTTATTTCGGGAAGGGCAAAATAAATTATATTTAATATTTTATTTAATTTTATTGGACACAGAATACAGAATTTACTTTCGTTAGTTCAAGCCATTCATCTTCTTCTGGAACATCGTCATAAATAAAATTCTGAATTATATTCTGATTTTCTTCCAATCCTTTCCTGTGGCAATACGCTATCATTATAAGAAACTTCTTGTCTAGCAGCTGTTCTTACGCATTGGAAACATCACAATCATTTTTTGTCCCATGAATTTTTACCCATTCACACTTTGTAAGCCTGGTTTTACAAAATTACTCGTGATTTCTCACCATTCTTTTTCAAATATTCTTGATTTCATCCACAAATGATCCTTGATGGCTTGTTTATTGCAATCAAGTGTATGGAGTACCGCTTCCTGCCGGAATCATATTGATCAATCTTCCTCTCAGCAGAATTTGTTTTTAGCCGTGAGTACTGGCTGACTCCCAAACTAGTAACCTCTATGTGAACCCTCACCTGGTTAGAAGCATAAAATCACCCACTTTCTTAACCCCTTCTTTTTTCACATTATTTCTCCAATTTTTACAGGATTCTTTTTTTACAAAAGTTCCGAAAATCCCGATAGGGCTTATTTTCGGAGGATGTCTTATTTTCAGAAAAAGACGGTATATACATTAAAAAATAGTTATTTTCTATTTTATTGACATATTAATAAGTAAATACAGAGTGTTTCAAAAAGAATATACGTCTTACAAAGTGTCATTTTGTCCAAACTATCGATCACTGCGATTTGGTTCAGCTATTGGCGAAACAAATACATAGTCTAGTTTATATTAATAGACGCTAGATATCAGTTGTCTTCTGTTTTGTGTGGTAACCCTCACATGTTAAAAATGGCTACGCCGCAGTAGAAATAATTTTGTGTTCTTGAGTTTACGAAGTGCAATTCCGTGATTACAGTGCAAAGATGTTTAGAGTTGAGGTACCAAAGTGATCCTCCGAATCGGTGGAACATTCACAGATGGTATCAACAATTTGTAAATACAGGATGTATATGTAAAGGAAAAAGTCCTGGCCGCCCTCATGTTCCCGACGAAAATGTTGCACGAATTCAAACTGCTTTCCAAGGCAGTCCTTCAAAATCAACTCACTGTGGCAGTCGGGAGTTACAGCTGCCTACAACAACAATTTGGCATGTTTTGAGACGTCAGTGGTTATGAGCTGTACAGTTACCTTTTTACAGGCTCTGCACTGATTACAAACGCAACGTAACATTTTGTAACAATTACTGATTCTATTTATAAGATACACTTTGCACAAGCATCGGTTCAGTGATGAAGCAACTTTTCATGTTAGTGATCATGTAAACAAACACAATGTTCGAATTTGGGGCCTACAGAACCCACATGCAGTCATTGAACATGTACGAGATTTGCCCAAAATCAATCTGTTTTGTGCGATATCCCGATCATCTGCTCATGACCCATAACATACAACTACTCAGGTTACCATAAATAAACCACCGCTTGGCGATAATACAAGACGTAGCCCTCTCTCTATTCTTATTATTTGGTTTTAATTTCGATATTTTACAAACAATCAACTGCCAACTATTATAATTTATGTTAGTAATGCTCTTGTACATATTTTTAGTGATAATATTTATTAAGTATCAGTTACATTTCACTTCTGCCACTATCCTTTAATTCTGAAGATGTATATGTGTGCATACACATACAGTCAAAAGTCTTTAATCCGGACTCGTCGGGACTTAGGCGATTCCGATTAATAGATCAGTTTAATCTGGTCCTGGCAGCGAAATTATAACAATTAAAATATGAACCATAATTTATGAAATACAGACAATTATGATCTAAAGGTTCAAATTTACAAAAAAAAACTTAATATTTATTTGTTTACTTTATTAACATTTTGGAACTATCTAAATGCCCTCAGTCGCCAAATTTCGCGCCAATATTTTTGGAGATAAACTTTACTCTCCATATTACCATCTAAATTTTTGTCTACATTTCGAACTTTTGCCTAAATGTCTCCAAAACGTGGTTTTCGCACCGCAAAAACTACGTTTTCAACTACATTTGCTAAAAATCCGAAACAAAACAAAATTTAGATAGCAAACGTAAGTTTCTACTAAAAATTTTTCTAATCCATGTACCATCACATATTTTTAACTTCAATCATGGGCAACGAACAAATCTACAACTACGCACACCTCGCTTTAATAAATTAACATAACAAATTTCAATGAATACCATGTACACAGCATACTGTTTAAACTTTAAAAAAATCTACGAATTGCACAATTAGGCAAGGAGGTCTATTATCTACGCACTCCTCACGTAATAACATAACATAACAAATAAGTCGCAAAGAATACCATTACACAGCGTTCTGTTTCACTAAGAAACATCTACGAATTGCACAGTCTAGACCTAAACACAAATAACTAAAATAATTTCAACAATGTAAAAAAAACAACAATAAAACGACCGAATCATACTAAGACCAATGACATAACATTCTACTAAATACGACAAGGATCAATAAAATGCACTACCATGATTAATGCGTTTCAATAGCAAATATAATTTTCATACCGCTTTAACATGCCGCACGTCATACTATCGTATTACGTGACAACCAGACACACTATCCAGAAATTTAACTATGGTTTACAATATAAATCACAAATCTCTACTCTATCATGCACGCTATTAAAAATATCTCCCAGACCCTCTTTCCCCACTTCCATACCCACTACCCCTCAACAGGATAGCCCAAATATTTCCTTTGACAACTCAAATTGTAAATCTACCATTTTTCTTTATCTTTCCCCTTCCCCCCCTCTCTCAACACAGAGGCGAATCACGAGCGCCAGCGAATTTTTTCAACGTCAACATGTTTGCCATCGAACACGCAATCGTCCAAAACCAGCGCAGAACACATATCGCCAATTTTGTGAATAGGCGTATATGAGAGTTGTACAACATTTCTTTCAACGTGCACATGCCAAGCTCTTCGCATAGCGAAATTAGAAAATGACCAAAACTATTTATTGTATCGTGATTTTAAAACGAGAGATTTGATTAAAATCATATCTAAGACGAATCATCGAGATGAATCTACATTAGTAAGGAATTAAGCCGAATAAAAAAAAAATCTGCCCTGAAGAAAGGATGTTCAACAATCACCCATTCAGCGCCCGCGACTCCCCCCCCCACAGATCATTTAAATTGAAAACATATTTCAAATTTAAGAAACAAGGATATGCCTTTATCCATTTTGCGCATTCACTTTTGTTTGATGACAAATCGACATACTTCGCTTTGTAGACCTTTACTTTTAGCATCGAAAATTATATTTCATATCGAAGTTCAGCTTACTTTTATAAAATTGCTCCTCCGTCTGCAAAAAAATAAGCCGATCCAATTCAATATTAGGAACAACGCATCTGCAACTTGACTGAATAGATATTAGACAATTTTAGCGTCTTAGCTTTACTCCCGTTATACATTAAACGCGCATGTGTAAAAGTATTACGCGCATGCATGAACGCATTATGCGTTGAGTTTGTAGCTTTGAGGTCTGGATTATAGATCATTCCGGATTAACGACTTTTGACTGTACAAAGATTTCTGAATCCAGTCCTGATAATGCTCTCACTTGATCCTCCACATAAATTCCACGGGTTGGGGTTTGAGGTGATGGCAAAATATTCTTCCATGTTTTTCATTTTGCCAAGATGTGTTCTATATAATGCACATGCTTGCCAGTTTTAGGATCAATGAAATTTTATTTGGGTTCACTTGACAGTGAATATAACTAGATTGTTCCAGTTCTCTTGTCTTATAACCCTACCAATAGTTGGAAAAAATTATCAATTATCGTTAATGCATTTTATTTCATTCATTAATGTGGCAGCACTATGGTTGAAGATCATGACAAGAAACGTTTGGCTGATCTTTGGAATATGGTGACTGGTAGTTTGGCGAGATTTTGGAGGCGATAAAGGTTATTACCTAGGACTTTGGTAATAATGTGAGAAGCACTCACTTCCGATTACGCATTATTTTGTGTGAGGGAAATGAGAGATCATGAGATAGGGCATGTGACATTCTGGACGAATTACAGTTGTTTAATCGAAAGGGGGGGGAAATCTGAAATTTCTATTTAGCTATATTCTGTGTTGTGTGAAACGTAATAATGGGCGATTACAGTTTTTAATCGGAACGTGTTAATTTGGAAAAGCTTATTGTGTGTTGGGTGAATCGTGTTGATTAATTTTTCGATTGCATGGTGTTTGCAAGTGACTTCTAATTTTTTTAATGCGTTTATCTGATAATAATATAAGTGAGATTGTGTGAAGGAGGATATTAAGTTTAAATGGTGCAGAATATGGTGAAATGGCATTTTGTGAAAAGGAGTTAAGGATGGTACTTGGTTTCTGAAGTAGTTTGAGTATAGTGAAATTTTATTACTTCTTATTACTTGGTGAATAGACTTCTAGTTGACTACTGATTTAGGATTAGAAATAACAGTATACTCTGCAGCGACGTATAAGATCTAAGAGATTAGGTAATTAGTATTTTTAATCCTTTTAGATATTATTTTATGCATTGTTCTAAAGTAAGGAGTAATACATTAAATGGTATTATTTGAAAATGTATAGCATATTTAGTTAAAGGAATAGGTTTAATCTAATTTTTATTAATTAATGTATGTGCTTATTTATTTTACGTAGTAGTTTTTAATTTATGAGCCTGATTTTAGTATATGTTGTAGTATTTGGAATATGTTGAGTCGTTCGTTGATATTGCATGCATTTTCGTGAATTTTTTGAATTATGAGAAAAGCAGTGTACATGATTAGTGAGAGTGTGCGCAATGCCATTTTTGTGCACTTCTGGGATTTTTTTTAAGTAAAAATACGTCACGTGTACATGTTTGTGACTTTTATTAAATGATAGTTTTTGGAATTTAATGTTTGTAGGAGTTTGGTATATCTTTTAGCTGAATAATGTGCATGGAATAATTTAATATTGACACTAGTATTTTTAATTTTGCGTTGAATCGTTGGTGACTTTATAATAATAATAGATAATTAGATGTAAAATTTTAATATTTTATTTTTTTTATACGTTGAAATGTCATATTTGGAAAGGTATTACTTTGGCGATAAGATAATTTCAATATTTCCTTTTTACTTGCGTTTAAGATTCAAAATTGCATGCATTTTCGTAAATTTTCTAATTTATGAGAAAAAAGCTGTAATGGATCTAGAGAGTGTGCGCAAGCCTTTTGTGCAATTCTGATGTTTCTAAGTAAAAATAAGTCTACGTGTTGTTAAGTATTGTTTATGTGAAAAACGCAGGATTGCGATTGTGTACTTTTTCCCAATTTTGCGTGAATATTTGTCATGATACATTTTGTTAGATAAATTTCTAGTATAATGTAATTTGGCTATAGATGTTGAAAGTGTTCAGTAATAAAAGAAAAAACATGTCTTTCCTTCGTGAAGACAAAATTGCGGCGTAAAAAAAAATAGAGGGTTGCTGTAGCAGAGTTGGTCGCCAAATTTTCGCCAAGAAATCGCCAAGTTACCATAATCCAAAGATCAACCAAACGTTTTTTCACAACAAATGTCCCCAAATATTCTTTGGGAAGAGTTTTTTTCAAATATTATTTTTATGTCTTGTGGACATACTTTTGTTAATCTCTACAATGCAGTTAACACCGCCAAATGTTTCATGTTTTTGTTCCACCATTTCAAGGATGCATATCTCCCACAGATAATTATTCCAATTAAAAACTGTTTTGTCTGTTATTCCTGCTTTTGGCAGAACTTGATTGATGTATTTCTTCAAACCTGCAATAAATCATAAAGCTGTTGTATATGCTATACAGCATGGTTTCTTAAACTGTGGGTCGTAACTCCCAAGGGCTTGCAGCAGGGGGTCACCAAAAATTGTAGCAGTTTTGATATTTAACTTATTATGATAATTTTACAATTACCAAATATTTTTATACAATATATTTGAAAATAGATAATGATGAGACAATACAGATAAAGAAGAACACGAAAACGTTTCAACACATTCTTTTTAAAATATAAACGTTCGTTTTCCTTGCTTTGCACGTGACTTCGTCCCTTTGTCTGTTACTTATTTAAAATTTTTACATTGTTCTATATCTTTAAATTAGAAATTAATTACCTAGAACTGCAATAGTGTATTACAGTACAAATGAAAAAAATTGACAGTTTCACTCACGTGTGTATCAGATTTGCACAGTACTTATGGGGGGTCCCACAAAATGTTTGTAAATATTATGGGGACTTTAGGGTCGCGAAAAAATCTCAGTGATAAAAAGGGGTCGCGACTGAAAAAAGTTTAAGAAACCCTGCTATACAGCATTCGGGGAATGTGCAGAATCACCCACTGCTTGGTGCGTTTTTAAGAATAGCACATACTCGGTATCCATGTACACATTGGCCTATTCTCACTTAAAAAAAATTCCAGAACTGCATGAAAATGGCACTGCGCACTCCCTTGACATTATCTATGTACACATTGACCTATTTTCACTCAAAAAGTAAAAGAAAATTGAAAAAAATCCAATTGTTTTTACCCTTGTAAAAAGCACCTAACAAATAAGTCGGTTCTGCACTTTACCACAGCATCCTTTGAACCCACTTTTTATACATAATCTAACATTTTTTCAATATGTGCAGATGTTACAATACCAATTATAAGTCTTCATGATCGAAATATAACTTTGTTGGATGCAATATTGATTATCTTGCAGTGTATTGCTGAAATAGTGAATAGACTTTGTTTCATTTTGAAATGTATTGCAAGGATTCATAAGGATTCAAGCATTGCGTAAAAATTTACTTTGAAGTAAAAATGCAGAAAACAGGACACATGAATCTAATGCAACAATGCACTGAATATAGAATTGTAGTTATAAAAAAAGTTCTGCAAAACAATTAAAATCATCGGTTATTTCACTTCAATTCATACCAACAATGCAATTAATTACCTATTCATTTAACAAAACACAATATCAATGCATTTACAAGGTCTAACACTTCATGTCAAATACTTTCACGAAGTGTTTTATTCATTCATTGAGAGCCAAATTTATTCTGATCTGAGTAATATATACTTAATCTGAAAAGAAACCATGAAATAAAATTAGCTCATATTTTACCTAATATCCACCTTAACTTAAACAAACTGATGATACAATTTTATTATTGTTAACAAAATTATGCTACAATTTGAAAAACGTTACCTCTATCAATCGAATTACTTGTTTGCCCATGCTTTAAAGTGCGTAATAAATTTTCATAGTATATTACACATTCTTGTAATTCCGTATCAGAAGGCTTCACTTTATTACAACGCTCTTTCGAATGGTTTTCTTTCCGACTCCTGCCTTCAATTTTAATACGTTTATTCTTTTTGTTGGATATATTTTTAAAATTCATACTAGATAATGATTCCTGTTTAATTTGTTTGTGCAGGAAACCATCTTCTTCGAAATCCTGAGTATTAATTTCATTTTTACCACGAAATGAATCACGCGGAAACTTGGAATAATGACTGCGATCTCTCTTCGGCATATCCAAATAAGAAACTTTTTTAGAATGATAAAACTAAATTTTTAAATACAGTATGTTTACATTTACTTGCTCAACTTGCTTTCTTGTGTTGCCAGTCAAAATTGGCTTTCCCGATTTTTTTATCAGCAATAATTAAGAAAAGAAAATGAAATAATAACATAAAAAAAGAAAATATGAGCGAACTTTGATGCATTGTTAGTTGTGTTTTATAATGTGTGTCTAGTTTCCTAATATTTAATCAAGAATTAATTATTCGTTTACCATTTTTAACACTGGAAATAGAAATATACATTTCCCACGTACACGACTGGAATCAAAACTGTAACCGTTGAACTAAAAATTGAATTGTTTATGTAATGTTAGTTTTCTTGTGAATGCTTACAAAACGCGACTTACCTAACTTTTAGTGATGGCTTATAGGCTGTATAGTGCTGCACAGTATTTGGAACCGTATTTTTTAAAATTGATCGTAAGTGATAATTTTGCTTGTAAAATTAAAATTATTGAAACTCATCCAAAATCGGTAATTGCATTGGAAGTATTATTTACAAAATAAATGAGCTTAAACCACCTAAATAAACCTTATTGTAGTAAAATATTGCTTGTTCTTTGTGAGTTCTTTATTAAGAAATAGAGCGTTAAATATGATGATTGTAAAATTACTAGTTAAAGAATTAAACTAGGGAAAACTCGTTTTTGGTTTTTTAATTGTATTTAAATTCAGAGGTGGATTAATGTTGTTTTAGTATCTTTAATTAATATTGTTTTAGTATCTTAGAAAATTACATAGATCCTTTGTTTTCATCTTTTACAAATTTAACGTCTGTTTTTAATGTCAGGGAAAAAAGTACTATTTCTCTTTAGGTTATGTAATTGGCAATAACTTTTGAAAGTCTTTCAGTTATATAACTATTAGTTATAGGTCTGCGATGCAAGATGATGACTGTCAAACATTTGAGATGACAGTAATGTCTGTGTCAATGCCTTAATAAGTTGCAAATGTAATATAATATGTATTTGATGCTTAACAAATGCTGAGGGCTACCTATTTAATGTAGAATTAATGGCTATGTTGATTGAAAGAGAGTGTTCCTCACATCACAAAATTATAAAGTAATTGTGCTTATGTTACTAAAGGAATCTGTGTACAACAATATGTATTCAAGGCAAATTTAATCTGAGAATACTGGAAAGGTCAGATCTGCAGATTTACTGATAATGTATTTTTTCACACTGAGACATTGATGCTTCACATAAGGTTATTTATTGCTGTTTAATTTACTTCAGGTGAAACTTCCTTTTGGTGTGAATTGTTCTTTGTGTATCTATTTATGGTCACTTCTTTTTTCATAGCTTTTAAAATTTCTCTCAATTTTGAAAAGATTAAAAAATTAAGAAGGTGTAGTGGTAGAATGTGTTGATAAAACTTCCACAAATTGACATTCAGATTCTTACTAAAGAATTTTTGGGTAAAGTGCAGAATCACCCACTTATTTGTTTGACGCTTTTTACGAGAGTAAGAATTGGATTTTTGTCAATTTTCTCTGACCTTTTAAGTGAAAATAGGTCGATGTACATGGATAAAGTCAAGGGAGTGCGCAATGCCATTTTTGTGCAATTCTGGGATTTTTTTTTTTTAAGTGAAAATAGGTCGATGTGTACATGGATACCGAGTATGTGCAATTCTTAAAAACGCACCAAGCAGTGTGCGATTCTGCAGTTTCCCAGAATTTTTTTAATGTTTTGTATATTTGCTATCATGAATTTGCCATTTAGTCTTTAAATGATTGTTATGTTCGTTAAAAAGTTAAATGATTATAACGATTATTTTTATTATAATCTATCCTTACATCAAAGTAGAAGTTGAAAAAATATTCAATAAAACCGAATAAATATAAATTTTAATAATTGATTTAGTTGTTATTCTTCTATTAACAGCTTTCTAAATTATTTCTAATAAAATTTCTTTTTTCTGAAATATTGTTGCAGAATATTTTTCTGGATAGATGCATATTTAGACTAGAAGAGAAACATGCTAATGTGACAATCAAAATCGTAAAAACAACCTTGTATTTAGCGTAAGTATAATAGCTGCCCTCAAAATCGATTGAGTGTTTCATTATACTTATGCTAAATACAAGGTCGTTTTTACGATTTTTTTTTTAGATGCATATTTATTTATTTTTATCTTCCTACACTTTCAGATAAACTTTGCTCTGGCCATCTTACTTCATATATGGTATATAAAACATACTAAATTATGATTGTGATAAGAACTCTCTAAACACTATAAATTTAATTATAATTTAATCTAATGCAATTTTTTATTATATACTGCTTTACAATAATAAATAAAAAATGAACATTCATTATGTACGACAATGAGATTTATATTAAAATAAAATTTAAAAAATATAATATTATCATGGATTAATAAGTAGAAATGGTGAGAATTATGTGAATGATAATGTATGGATTCTTAAATGACAAATGAGAAATCAAATGCTGAATGAGTGCATTTGCTGAAATAAATTTTATAATACATTCAAACTCCATTTTAACTCTTTCGCATCGAAGTTGCCCCAAACACCCGACCATTCAGATATCGACAGGTCGCCTAAGCACCTGAATTATTTTCTACCTGTTGCTTTTTCCCATCACGTTAATGCATTGCTCATTGCTTCCAGGAGTTGTTAAATGACATGCCAGTCATTCTTTTGAAGCAACTAAAAGTAGTTCTGTTATTTTAATGCACCTTATTTTTCCTTTGTTTACTGTCAATGTTTAGCTATTGATACTTGAAGTTGCAGTCTTGTTCCAAAAAGAAACTGAATGCAGTGGTGAAAGCATCCAAAAAAGAAATTGTCACCTAACTGTAGTATTCTACTTGTCATGGGGGAAGGAAAACTATTCCAAGAGAAATTCGTACACATGGGCATTTTCAGTGTTTGAGGGAAAACAATTTGGTCCTGTCTCAATGCAAAAGAGATAATGAATTTCTAGATACAGCAAATGAACCCATCCAGTTTCTTGTACACTTAATGTTATTTTATACTCTTATAGTGAATCTCCAAAATACGAAAATTAGATGCAACAACCTGTATGGATATTTTCAATAGAAACGTTTTTTGGGGTTTTGTTTTTCCTATTTTTTAGAATGTCTGCAAGGTTAAATGAAAAAATTACTGAATTTTAAAATCATTCACATTAGGAATGTTAGATCCACATTCCATTTGTAAAGAAAAACACTGTGATTTTTTTTTTTTTTTAAATCTTTCATTTTTTTATTTTTCTCTTTGTTCTAAACAAAAGCTCTGCAAGATAGGTGTGAACCCAATTCTAAGACATTGATGACATGATAAGTATATGAGAGCAAGCCATATGGTGTTAATTGACCATTGAATCAAAGGATGTGAATAGCTCTCTGATTCTGTCTTTGACTGAGCTGTCAAGCAGAGGTGCATCGAAGGTGATAATTTCTGAAAATCCAAAAGGTGATTTCTGATGATCCAAGTTTATTTCTCAGATGAAAATTCTGAAAATTTCACTATTTGAGTGTACTGAATTTTATGAGCCGGGACTATGCAATTGATTCATCTTTTAACCCTTAAAAAAACAACCTTTTGCTAACCTGTATGTTTAAAATACAGAAACAACCCTTAATGTCCGTTTCCTCCCCTCCCCTCCAAATTCATTAACACACAAAGAGTTGTAAAGATTTCAAATGACATCCTTTATACTTTCTAACAAAGAAGTTTCCATTAGCTTTTTAGGACAAGCTGTATGCAATAAACTGATCCAATGCATTTGGGAAAAATGTATCTGTTATTACTGCATATCTTAGGGGAAGGGAAAAGAACAACATCACAGTCTCGGCTGTTCCGTGTGGTTGTGGTCATTTGAATGAAAGTCTGTCTCGGTTGTTTTGACTTTCAAAGAGTTAAGGAATGAAGTTTTGATGCTTATTGGATTGTTTTGTTTTTGTATAAATGTTGTTTATGTCTTTTGAATAAGAATTTTGCATTCTGTAGGTTTTTTAAGACATACAATATTCTTAATAAAAATTATTGAATCTTTTGTTTTGAAACCATGGATAAATTTTTTCTGCCATCTAAATTGCGACATCAGAAAATTATATATTATTTTGCATTTAGGAGTTAAGTAAAAGTTAACAGCAAATTTGTCAGTATTTTTTGCTATTATTTTTTGTGTTTTTATATTATTGTGAATAAAATAATTATTCATAGATATAAATTAAGTAATATGTCAGTAAAATTATTAATGTTTAGTGAAACTGGAACAGAACAACAAATTTAATGACTGCATAACACAATAATTGTAATTAAATGTTAATATTTTTAAAAATTATATTTATTATTCTCTTCTTTTGGTTGATATGACAGTGTTAATCATTTTTTTCCCTGATTCGTCATTCAAATTTTTACATATTTATGTGAGATGATTGATTTTTCTAATCGAATCAGTTATAGAAAACCAAACTTCCAGTGCTTTGAAGTTAGTTATAGTGAGGTTTGAACATTATTCACTCAGTGTAATGTAAATGAAACTTAGAATTAATTCATTTGAAATTTTCATCTGAAACTGTATTTGCAAAATTTGCTACATTTTAAAACCTTTTAAAATTGTGTCATATTTTATTACCAATCTGAATAGGCTGTGCTTTTTTTTTTTCCCCCATACCTTTTCTAGATAAATCCAAGGCTTGCATCTATCCGTAATTCTACTCTAGATGCCTCTTTATCTAGATACTTAGTTCAGTTACAGACGTACTGTGAAAAAGTTCCGAAAGGATTTGAGAAGTATTATCCTGGTGGGAAAAAAGCAAAAAATGTTGAAAAGGATGTATCTTCAGAAAAAAAAGAAGGTATAGTTATATAAAATTGAATAATATATATTTTTTTAAGCTTTGAATATAACTAAACACTCTTTTTGTCTGAATTATTGTAATTATTTTAATAACTAAAATATCATTTACCTCTACATTGTCATTATTTTACTTATTAAACCACTTTATGTATAGTGGCATCTACAATCTTGATAATCATAGTTTTATTCATTAT